GCCGTAATGTGAACTTCTTAGGAGACACCTTCTTTCACCAACAGCTTTGTTGTGCAGTCTATTGAGGAGGCCGGAGACCAAAGTCATTGCCTTGTTCTGGGACTGTTTAAAACCAAGGAGCCTGCTTCTCCCAGCCAACGACAGCTGCTCTGTTGTGAATTACAGAGCAGGTTTGTAGCCAAGGGCAGAGGAAAGGAACTGAGAAGGAATGAGAGAAGCAAAGCAGGGGGGGCGGGGGAGGGGAATGCACAAGGTGAAGGATTTGGGGCATATGTGCGAACACAGTAGGAAGGACAAAATGCAAGTGGCAGAGGAGAAATAGAGGGAGGAATTTTTATAATGAGGCATCGAGAAGATTTGGATGCTCTATTTCTCCAGGATCTGAGTGAGTTCCTCCTCAAACAAAATATTTAATAATAAGATAATAACAACAATTGGAAGAACTGAATAACTTTGGAGTTATTTCTTGGGACCAGAAATTTGCCCTTGACTTACCTCTTTTCTGGTAGAAAAACAGTAGCTAATGATTGGCAACATCTTCATCCTAAAGCATATTTTGTGTACCACTCACCATTTCTTTTCTTTGTTTTTCTTTCTTTTCTTTTTCTTTTAGGTCTGAGGCTGGGACTCAAACTCATTAGTATCTGATGGTTTCAGTCATTGGCTAGTGCCCTACCAACTGAACCATGCTTTCAACCCCATGGTTAATCGAGTGTGTGTGGTGTGTGTGTGTGTGTGTGTGTGTGTGTGTGTGTGTGTGTGTGTGTGTGTGTGTGTGCTAGTCCTGGGGCTTGAGCTCAGGGCCTGGGTGCTGTACATGAGCTTTTTTGCTCAAGGCTAGAATTCTATCACTTTGAGCCACAGCTATACTACACTCACTGTTCCTTAAACCTTTTCCTACATGATCACTTAACACTGACAACAGTTCTTCTGGAGGTAGCAGGCTTGCTCCTTCAGCAAAAGAACTATACATTTATAGCTGCTAAATTCCACACCTCCCCAACATTTACTTATAGACCTCCCAAGATTTCATGGATCCAGATTAAGAAGTTCTATTCCAGAATGTCTAATGTAGAGCTGGCATGAAGTAGATGATCAGTGAAATCTTTCAGCTTTGAATTATGCAAGTGATGAACTAAATATTCTAGTACAGCAAAATTTGCCATATATTCCTTCACAAATAAATTATTTTCAAGTAGTGATATGTAAGTGCAATATTTTCAATATCAAAAGTATACTCATTGTAATATGATTTTTTTGGTTTGTTTGTTGACGTTTCAGAAGATAATTGGGAAATTTCAACAAAACAACAGAAGACCAGGGTACAACAACGCAGTCAATGGAAAGGGCAAGACAAGATAAATCTGAATCTTTGTTTACCCAAGTACAATCACTAAAACTAATTTTCTTAACCAGTTCATATTAGTCGTACACTCACATATCTTGTCTATTTCCTTTAATAGTAGATTGTGAATAACTTTTAAATTTTTTGCTGATAGCTTATCTAGCATATAGTTATGTTGTGAGTATTGATTTGAGAGAGAAATGACTACACTATAGTTAATCTGTCTCTTCTCTGCCTCGAAAACCAGCATTTTCATCCTGTCTCATTTGATTCTGAAATTGAGAAACCATGGATGGTTTGGCTGATGGAGAAAAGAGGCACCATGCAATCAAACAAGTTGCTGCCTAAAGGAGTAAATAAAGCATGGAGGGTGTGTGAAGCATGACTAATATAAAAAAACAACAACAAACCAGAAACACTGGCAGCTGACTCAAGGATTCAGTGAAAAGATGGGGCCAGTAGCTGAGAGAACTTGTTTCTGGGGTAAAGGAGAAGAACACATGTAGGATGAAAAGGAGGCATCAACATTACTAAAATTATAAGAGCACCGCTTATTCTTTGCTGTGTGGTTAAAGACAGATCTAATGCTGATGAGAAAGGAGATCTGGAAAGTATAATAGCATGAATTTCTTTCCGATATATCCAATGGGTAAGTTCACAAAGGACTGCTTTTTAGGATCCAAACAGCATTAGCAGAAAGCTAATAGTAAGTTGTGGGTAGGTTTGAATTATGATATCTACTTCTACCACCAACACCACTAACCCCACTGCCACCAACACTCACTCACTTTGCTTTTTTTTCATACATTAATTTGGTTTATCACTAATGTAAACCTCGTAATAGTGCTATCACACAACTATTACCATCCTTATTTAACAAACAAGGAATGCTAAGTCTTTCCTTTCAAAGCATTAAGTTGGCCAGTAACTGGTCTAGAATTTGAGCCCAGGTTCTTGTAAAGTCACAGGACACCTCATAGGATATAGCATTTACTTCCATGGGCAAAGAGGGCTTTAATCACAGTTCAAAGCTAAATCGAAATGACTTTTAGTTCCAGTTCAACACCAAAAAGGCAGATGTGGAGCTGTGGCTCAAGTGGTAGAGAGCCAGCCCTGAGCAACAAAGCCAAATGAGACCAAAAAACAAACAAGAAAAGAACAAAGAATTTTACATATACAAATTCCAACATCATGGGCTCTGAAAAGGGCAGAAGACAGTGCCAGTGGCCACTTCCCAAAGTCTCTGATAAGTGCAAAAAAATGAGGGGGGACTTCTTGTCACCAAAGACAATTTTGGATTTTAGAGGAAAAATAATACCCACTATCACCACCACCACCACATCAACAGTGCCTTTGCTTAACCTTCCACCTTGGTTATTTATAGCACTCTACTTATATTTTCATTATTTATAACCATCTACTTATAACTTCTTGAATTGCTGGTAACCCTGGATATATTCTTTTTCTTGCTCAAGATTTCATTTTCTCTTGTATAAAGCAATTGTACTCAACAGACCGATATTTTTTCACCTTTAATACTCTTTGAATTTATTTAGCATCTGTCTCTACTATACATGGGACATTGGAGACAATGTTAGAGACAGAGTTGAACATGGTAAAGCCTGCAACCTCAGGCTCCTTTCCAAGCTATGAGCCTTTGCAGTGCAAACGCTATGCCATTCATCTCTGTACCTCTACCCAGCCCCTCTCATCTCTAGCTCACTGCTGAGGTATTATGTATGCTCAATGAATGTTTATCAAACTTACAAGAAAGGACGGAGCTAGTTATGATAAGTGGTGCAAAATAGAATGTGACAAATATCTTAGAATCAATATAGCATGATGAAATAAGCCACCTGCTATGGTTTGGAACTGAAATGTTCCCCAGAGACATATGTGTTGAAAGTTTGTTCCTAGTCTTCAGCATTGTGAGAAGTGGAGAAACCTTTAAGATATTGAAGCTTAATGAGAGGAAGTTAGGTCATTGGGGACATGCCCTTGACATAGATATTAGGACCCAGGCCCCTCCTCTTTCTCTGTCATGAAGCAAGCCGCTTCATTCACCAGGCCATCCTACCATGATGTATTGACTTGTCTTGGCCCTAAAAGAAATAGTCCAGCAGACTCTTCACTGAGATTGTTGAAACCTTGAGCCCAAACTACTTTTCCTCCTTGTAAATCACTTATCTTGAGTATTTTGTTACAGTGATGGAACTGAGCAACATAGCATTGGTAAAAGAAATTAATAACCAGTCAGAGTCATCAGAAAGATCCCTTAGGGGCAGCTGGCTTTTCATCTTGAAGGAGAGGCAGGGACCTGATGGGCAGAAATATAGCAGCATAAGGAAATTCTGAACAGGGATCATTGTATCTCATCCAGGTTCATCTGACAAGTTGGGGAGTGGGGGAGAGACAGCATTGCAGCCGATGAGCAACAGAGGAGGATGAAGTCAAATTATTAAGAGCCTCACCATTTTTCAGCTTTGGATTTTAGGCTATTCTATAGGAAAGGAAGATTTGTAAACAAAGCTACTATCAGCAGCCAAGCCATATTTAAATTTAGGGATAATACTGAGCGTTGTATAAGACATTTTGGTACCCGTTCCTTTATTTAATTGCATTGAATTTGTGACTCCAAACAATTTTATCAGTTAGATAGGTTTATTGTATGCTAATCACATCTCAAGAAAAGTATTTAATAAACCTTACCTTCCTTTTAAGATAAGGTGGTACACATGAATCAAAATTAAAAACAATCTTTGAAGCTTAATTTTAGCTTTCCTGGGGCTACCTTGGTGATCCCAAGAAATTTTTTTACAAGAAGGCAGGCAGGCAGGCAGGCAAGAAGGAAGGAAGGAAGGAAGGAAGGAAGGAAGGAAGGAAGGAAGGAAGGAAGGAAGGAAGGAAGGAAGGAAGGAAGGAAGGAAGGAAGGAAGGAAGGGAGGGAAGGAAGGAGGGAGGGAGGGAGGGAAGAGGAAGCAAGGAGGGAGAAGATTGCATGTCCTTTTTTAGATGGATGGGAAGAAATTACCACAAACCCAAGTCTAACAGCCAGCTGGGTTTATTTAATTAAGGTAAATGGACCAATTCTAAACTTCAGGACTACACAAGTCTGCTCCTTTTCTTTGCTATATACTTAATTAACACCCAAACCTTCTTTTTAGGAGTTTGGACTTGATTTGTAGATTCTTAAATTCCATGTGTTCTATGTTTCCCAGCATTCTATTCATGATTTTTTTTCCTGAAGGTGAAATTTCCAGAATCAACAATGCTATTGTCAAATCCTTTGTTGAGACAGTTCATTTAGGACATTGGCTCCCCTGGGACATATCTCCAGGTGTTAGTTAAGTGTGCTAAAGAGATTTATTCCTGGGCAAATTGGCTTTGAAATATAAATGAACTCAAAAGGAAAGGCATGTGGTAACTCTGGAGGGACATAGTCTTTTTACTTTAGGAATTGGCTTTTATGAGTCTGCTAATACATAGGATTTTCCTACCATCCTTGGGTGTTTTCTGCTCATATAGAAAAGTGACCCTTTATCTTCATTTAGCTGAATATGGTTCCACCCAGACTTGTAAACCTGCAACTGGATCACTGGAATCAGGAAAAGTGACACACAAAAAGACTTTATAACCATGGGAGTAACTCATTTTTATTTTGGCCAGAGATTTCCACAAAGTGTTATTTTGATTGTCTCTGGAGAGAAGTAGCCTCAGTTCATCATCTACCAAGAGAGAATTCACAGATGAAGCTGGCCCGGCTCAGTCTCTCCACTACTGAGCAATGTGTGCATCATCCTTTAGCTTCTCATTAAAGAAGGATTTCTAGGAAATGAATAGAAAAGAGAAAGTTGAACTCAGGTTAACGTGAAATAAAAAGAATATTTTTTAAAATCCACTCAAGGACTTCAATTTCTATCCTAATGCATTTCAAGTGCACCATTTAAAGTATCTTGGAACATTGCAAGTTTCCCCTTTTTTTGCTGGATATTTTACTTATTGTTAGTCTCTGACCACTTCTAATATAAAAAGGAAAAAAACCCTCAGCCCTCAAAAAACTCTTCCCTTTTCCTGAGGAAAAGGGAAGTAGAGGAGGAGAAATCATTGATGCTGGAAGAGGGCAGGTAAGGATGCCAAAGCCTGGTAGTCAGATGGAGCTGGCCATCCTCTGTGGAAAGTTTATAGTAATATAACTTCTTCCCATCATGATCAATATTTCTTCCCCTACCCCCCAAAAGCTCTCGAAAGATTAGATGGGCCTACAATTGCATACAGCATCTGCTATTGGAAGAGAAAGCTTGGGTTAAAGCAACCTGGGTGTTACAAAGTCACTGAAACTTCACAAGACACTTTCAAATCTTTATGGAAAAGACAGCATGCTTTTAGAATTTATAGAGTCAGAACAAGTGGATGTTGTGCCCAAGAACTGTGAAGGAAAACCAGTGGGAAGGTACGGTAACAACTAAGTCATCATCTAGCCATGTAGACCCTGTCTAGCAGAAGTTCTTCCTTTGCTTTCCAAGTCCTCAGCATAACTTTTCTTAATGCAAGACCCTCATAGGCTTTATCTTCATCTCTCCAAGACTGTAGAATCTCTCCAGGGAGCAAAGAGGGCTTGAAAAACTGGAGGACCACAGCAGGATGGAAGAACACACTTGCTAGAATGAAGGCCATGAGGCCAGCTTGCTGAGAATCTTCACATTGAAAGGGAAGTTTGCCAATGTCCAGTTCCCTGCTCCAGTTGGGGAAACATAGAGGATGCATTTAGGAGGTTGGAAGTGAAGATTCTTAGAAACAGAAGCAGACATACCTTCCCATATCCAACTGTTGTGATAAGAACTTGGAACCATTTTACTATAGGTCCCAAGACAGAGACTTTAGCATCATTCAACTAGGAGGTAAATGTCAGCTGTCCCCTCCATTCCCTGAAGATCCATTTCTTAGTAAAATTCCACTTAACTAGCATTTACTGGCTGGGTACTCAGGTTCAAATATTATTATAGCCACTATACATGTATTAACTCATTTGACCATCCCCACTACAGGGATATAAACCCATCTACCAAACATGAGCTGAATAACTTACCCCATGACACATGGCTCGAGTAACAGAGCAAGTGTGGAATCCAGGTAGGTCAGCTTCAGTATGTTCCAGGGAGTTCAGCACCAGAGTTTCTGTGTGTCTCCATGTCACCTTGTTTCTACAAGATGGATAGGGAGATCAGAATCATAGATACTCCATGAGGAATAATTACTATCACTCCAAGTCATCAAAATGAAATACCATCCCTCAAGCATGGTTTGTTTGCTTTTTTTTCATTTACGAGAAATTCATGGGATCATAACAGCATGTCGCCCAATTGGCTTCAAAAATTTTGGCCATGAATATATGCATCATATATTTATGTACATGACATAGCTATATGCGGCAAATTAGATAAATGTCCTAATTTGCATATCAAACACATTTATAAAACACACAGAAATCAAATTAAATAAAGGAGGAAACAACTTTCAAAAAGATTGTCTAATGATTTTTTCTTGCTCTCTGGGGACTAGGATACTTCCTCAGTTTTGAGAATCACCCAGAAGCCCACATTGTCCATCTTTCCCATAATAATCAATGAGAACATGAGTGGAGGAAACCATATTATTGACCATCCCAACCATCAGATGACCCCACTCCACTACTCTGACTCCTGGTCTTTTCTTCATAGATTCTAAATCCAGTCATCAGCTGACACAGAGCTGCACCTTGGAGAGGGTCAGAGCCAACATTAATAGGCAGATTTGTGAACCCAGCAATCAGTCTCTTTAGCCATTATTGATTCTTCTTCTTCATCACCATCCCGTTCTTAGATCTTCTTGGATACCTGATGGTAACAAATCTTTCCTTTGACTCCATTGTGAGTAAAACTGTCTATTATCCACAAACTACCTGAACCTGAGCCCAAGTGTTTCACAGAGTGGTTTGCATTTCAAACCTCATCTTCCATTAAACTTTCAAAGGCATATTTACCCCAACAGCCAAGTGGACTGGGCTGTTATTGTCCCAGATATGCAGGTGCTAGGAAGTCTTGATGGGGGAAATGCTTGTGACAATGTCTAGTATACTACCTGGTGTATAGGTCCTACCTATACTCTGTAGGTCTCCATTTCAATCATGGAGCCTGATTTCAGAAGGAAAGGCTATTATCCATCACAGGGAGTGGATGAAAAGAGATAATTACCCAGAAACCACATAATATTCTGCCAAACCCCATCCAAGCAGAATGGTGCTGACAGCTCACTTCTAGAGACTTTTGCCCCTGAGACTCTACTGTGTTTGGTACTGAGATGGAGCTGCTGCCTATGGCTTCCTTATTTGAAGATAGCTATCTGACAGAGGCTCCCTTGAGTTTAGCCTCTTAAGCCTCTCTGCACATACTAGAACCAGCTTCCCTTTACCCCAAAGTACCTTCCCACTCCTGAACCTTCCTGACCACTCATGAGGGAGTACCATTCCAGACCAGAGAACGAAGGCAGAGCGGGGCAGGGAGGGGGAAGGCTGCCCTGCAGGGCTGAAGGGCAGCTGTTTATATTATAATTAAGGTTTTACAGCATAAACTGAAATGTAGCTTGACTATTCCAACAAGGCACTGGAGGTAATTACCACTGCTAGAGGCGTTCTGCACTGCCAATTATTTCCCTTCCTAATTGAATAACTTAGGCCACATTGTAGAGGGCCAGGGAAAGGAAGAGATTGCTTTCAAATATGGACACTCCTTCCGAGGCCTTAGAATAGCATAACGCTTCTTACACTTCCAGGCACAGAGCTATTCAAACAGCCTTTCCTGAGAGCTTTCTGGAGGAGAGAAGAACTGAGTCCTGACTTTCACTACTCACAAGCTCAGGCAGGTTAAACTCCCGATGCCTGCTTCCTCACCCATAAAACGGTGATAACTGAAGTGTTGATTTCACTGCATGGCCATGAGGATTAAATAAAAGAATACGTATGTATGTAGTCAGGTTTACCTCATTTCAGCAATTTTAAAACAGAAAAGGCTTCAGTTGACAATCAATTTAGAGGTCTCCATTCGTGTTCTTCTGGCCTGCTGTTTTGGGGCCTGTGACAGCATATGTTGTTAGAGGAGACCTATTCACCTCATAGAGGCCAGGAAGGGAAAGAGAGAAACAGGGAGGGTCTGAGGTCCCCAACTAGGCCACACCTCTTAAAGGTTACACTATCTCCCAATGATACCAGTCTGAATACCAAACTTTCAACATATAGTTCTTTGAGGCACCCTTATCCAATCCATAGCCATACTAATCCTGGCAAGTACAGAACATTCAATCACACTGATAGAGACTTGGTGGTGACAGAGGGTGTGACCAGGGAAGGGCAGGTGCTAATCTTCTACCTTCTCATAGGGGACAAGCTGTGGCAGAGAGCAGCCCTGAGTCTTATATGACACAGGCAGGTAAACAAAGGCCAGCAGCAGAAAGACGGTGTACACTCTTTGCTTAGAAGGAAACAATTCCTCTAAGTCCTAGGGGAAATGCTCTTTCCTAAGAAATGGTACTAATTCAAAGATGCCCAGGCCCTAGGAGGATTTGCTGCTTATTGTATCTCCTCTGCATCTTTTCAAGGAGCCAGCATCATGCAGATTGCTGTTTCTGCTCCCTAGTCCTGGGCAAACCTGTGGTTAATAGGCCATAGAGTTGTAGAATACTTTCTACATTATAAATTTCATTCTACTCTGATCTCTCCTTCAATCTTCACAACCATCTGGAAAAGAAAAATTTTTTTAAAAAGGAGTAGACTTCCTGGTTTACAAATGAAAAACTAGAGGCCAAGAGAGGTTAAATAAATTACATAAACCCAATCAAGGACTAAAACGCAAGTCTCTGCCTCCACTTTTCCCCACTGGTCCACTAGAAGGAAGTCAATTTCAGCCCTCCAAGTTAACAACACACTCTCACACCCAATAACCTTGCTATGTTTTAAACATCTCAGAAGCCAGACAGTGATTCTCAAACTTTAGAGTGCATAGGAGTGTCTTGGGGAATGTGTTTCAAGTGCAGACTCCAGGGTTATACTCCTAGAGATTCTGATTCCCTTAGTTGAAGGCAAGACCCAGGAAGTTGAAGATCCCTAGAGTTTTCTGATTTCCCTGGTTCAAGGGCCATGCACCAAGGAATATCAGACTAAGAAAACCTAGGATAGAAAATAGAGGCTTATATAACGTCACCTGTGTGAACTCTTATTTCTTAAGCGTTCTGAACTTTAGTTTCCTTATACACAAATGAAGACAACAACATTTACTTCCACAGGTGTTTTGTGAGGATTAAATGAGATAATGTATGCACAGTGGTGAGTACTGTGCCTAGCACAGGACAAATGCTTGGCAATGTTAGCCATTGTTGTCATCTCTGCTGCTAGGGTCATGAATATTACTCAAGTATAATCAAGTTTTGTGTTACTCAAGGGATAAATTGCTATACCTCAAAACCTTCTCATCTGGACTCATTAAATCTGTAGAAGATTGGGACATAAAAGGAACATAAATAGGAACTGATAAATTTTAAATCATTTTTAATAAGACTGGCTCATCTATCCTCCTCATTTAGCTGTCTTGGGTGGGGGTGTTGGCAACTGTTGGTATAAATAAGAGTTGATTTTCTAATTAGCAGACACTGATGAATAGTAGAAAGGGGGAACTGAAGGATACAACAGGAGGGCCTTCCTGAGAACTGGCATTAAATCCATGTGATCTTCACAAAACCTCCCGGCAGACAGCTCCAACAGGGAAAGAAGGTGCATGCCCTTCCCGTGCTCAACTTCTTCCCAATCATTATCCATTTTCCTCATACTTTGGGAGCAGCTCAGGGGTATTCGGGAACACCAAAGTGTCTCTAGCAAGATTCAGGGACCTCTAGATGAAAGTAATTCTGTCTACATCCTAGAGAGAGAGAGAGAGGGAGAGAGAGAAAGACAGATAGACAGACAAACAGACAGAAAGACAGACAGGACAGACAGACAGACAAACAGGACAGACAGACAGGACAGACAGACAGATAGACAGGACAGACAGACAGACAGACAGACAGACAGACAGACAGGCAGACAGAGGAAAAAGAAAGAAAAACCACTCTTGCCTTAAGTCTGCCCTGAGAGAAAGAAAGAATGTACATTAGAAGTAGAACAAATTGTGTCCACCAGATAACCCATTGCCTGTAGTAAAATCTCCTCTGCTCCTGCTCTTGAAATTTTCCTTTTTGTTGTTAGTGTATAAACATTGTATGAGATATCAGAGTTCATGGTATTTTCGTACTTTGACTATATTCGCCCCCTGGTTGTCATCTTATTCTCCATCTTCCCTGCCAGTGGTGTCCTTTCCTTCTACTCTCAAAAGATTCCAATTCCACATATGAGAAAGAACATGCCACATTTGTCTTTCTGAGTCTGGCTTATTTCATTTAGCATGACCTCCAGTTGTATCCATTTCCTTGCAGACAACCTGATTTTATTCTTTTTTGTTCTAACCTTTAAATATGACAGAAATCTCCTTAAGATGTGAATCGACAGTTTCAAGAAAGGACTTTGGATAAACTGGCTGGGGCTGGTGGCCTGAACTTTGTCAGTGAGCCCCTTTGAAAACTTTATATTGTAGGCATAAATTAATCTGTTGGATTGAAACCCATTTGTGCAACTATTGAAAGATAATAAAAATAAATCTGAAAACGATTTCCTTTCATCTAGGCCATCTCCATAGATTAGTGAGTCCACTTACACCCTAAAACCCAAACTTATGATTGGTGAAGGCCCAGAAATCGTATTGAGTGGTGGAGGTGAGTATACCTTTTCCCATAGCATTTCTGCAGGTATGTTGCAGTCAGCAGCAGGGAGATTGGTGTGTCTGCCCTTCTTTTAGATGTTTCAATTCCTAAAGTGCACATTTTGGTGAGAGCAAACTACTACAGACAGTCCTTCAGGTTTCTATTTCTCAAATATGGAGATCAAATCTACAATTGGTTCATAGCCAGGTAAATCATATCACGTATGCTTTCTTTTTTGTTAATGCTCAAGAGTTTGTGAGATCCTATATCAAAAACAAACTGAAGGAAAAAGAATAGAGGGCATAGCTTCAATGGTGGTGCACATGAACAGTAAGCTTGAAGCCCTGGCACAATCCTACGTATTGTCAAAAAACTGTTCCAACTCCCATTGGCTTTAATGTTGACTAGATAATTCAAAGTTTTTGAAACAAACAGAAATGTGCAATATTATTCATATTAAATGGCACCACTTAAGACAAAGGAGTAATCACTAGCTCCATACAGGTATTCATAAAATATTTATCTTAGCCCAGTTATCAGATTTTCTTTAGGGAACAACTGGCCTTTTTTGACAAGATAATATGAGGGTGGTTTATTTTTAATTCAGTACTGCCTAGACCTTAACATTTTGCCACAACAACCCATGTAGATGTGACCAGCTACATAATTTATGAGTCTAGTACAAAGTGAAGATGTAAAGTTCCTTGTCAGAAATCTTTAAGAACTTTAAGGCAGTAGAAGTAGAGCATTAAACCTTATACAGGGTAGGATACTAATGACTCTGTCATAGCTACTCAGCAAAGCTGAGATCTGCTGATCATGATTCGAATCCAGCCTAGGCAGGACAGACTATGAGGGTCTTATATCCAATTAACCACCAAAAAAGCTGGAAATAGAGCTGTGTCTCAAGTAGTAGAGTACCAGTCTTGAGCAGAAAAAGCTCAAGGGCAGTGCACCTGTCCAGAGTTCCAGCCCCATTAACTAAATAAAAGAAAAAAATAAATGTACAAAGAGCCCTTCTAAGCTTGAGGTCCCTTGCCAGAGGCACTCAGCCCAATATCAATAGATTTCCCAGGGTGGACCTCTCAGTAACCCAGCCTCTGCCATACCATATGGCTGATGACTGCCCCTGCACAGATCACCCCCCCCCCCCCCACACACAGACCCTGCCCTTAAATGACCAGAAATAAATATGGCTAACATTAATGAACACTTGATTTTCCTGATCACCATTCCAAGAACCTCAAACTTATTTATTAACCCATTTAATCCTTAGGACAACCCTGAAATGGAAATACTGTTATTTTTTATCTTGATATGGAAACTGAGTTTTGGATGAAATTAGCACAGTTTCATAGTTACATAAATATAGGGTATTACCAGAATTTGAATTTAGGCAGATTGGGCCCAGATTCTACTCCATGGCTACAGATTCTACTCCATGGCTACAGATTCTACTCCATGGCTACGCTACAGTGCTGCTAGCTGTCATTCTCCAACAGGAAATCTGGAAACTCTGCTAATGGATTTGCATTCTGTGAAGGCCTCATTTTCTTTTCTGGTTTGGGGAGTTAATGCAGTTCTTGGAAAGTGCAGTGGCCTGTGGACTTCAGCATGTGCCACAATGGACATACCTGGAAAACAGTACAGATGTGGATGCAAAGCATTAGGAGTGGCTTTTCTTGGTGCCTTCCATGTTATGGAATCTCCACAATCAAAGCCCATGGAATTCGGACAGTGAAGGCCACAGGTAAAAGTGACTCAAACCAACAAAGACCATCATCTTCCTGTTATGGAAACCCATTTATGCTGGGCAAGTGGCATCTGTAGGCAGAATTGGGATTGCCTGTATCAACCTTGACCTGTAGTTGATGGCTTTGCTTCTGGAAAGTTCCAATGTGTGGAAACTCTGCACCCAGTACTCAATCCTCATCACAGAGTAGACTTGTAGTCAGTCAACTACACAGAGTGGACTATGAATAGCTCTGTTCTCGGAGGGCAGAACATACTAGGCTCTGCTTTCTAAGAGCCTTGGTTCTCCAGTTCAGTTAAACAAAAGGACTACCTAGCTTAGCTCAGCTTGTTTTAAAATGCAGGCTTAAGATTGGCATGGTAGCATATGCCTGTACTTTCAGCACTGAGGAGGCTGAGGATCAGCTTGGGTATTCAGGAAGACCTTATCTCAGAAAAAAATAAAATAAAACGCAAGTTCTGATGCCCACTTTTGAATGAGCTTCTCTGCCTTGGCTGTAGGTGGTCGATCCGTTGCAACATACTTTACAACATGGATAGCCTTAATGTGACAGGCCGGTTCCTGGGAGGCTGAGTGGTCCCTCCTGCCCACACTCTTTTACTGAGTGACCTCCAGTGTCACCTCTAGGAGAGTTTAAGCCAGTCAGATGATGTGTATAAGAATGTGGCCTCATGATTCCCAAGTAGATTGGTTCACTTGAACCAATAATCTGAGCTTCTCTTTCCCCTTTACAATAGTATAAGCTGTGGCTGATACCAGAACCTGACATCTACAAAAGGAGGCTTTCCTTGGGCAAACTTTTCTCTCACAAATGGCATACAGGGTCCCACTTTCTCTCTCCACGTGCTGATTCCTCTAAACGCCATTTGACTTCAAAAGCTTTCATTTCTAGGAAATTCCTTATTCATCAAATGCCATTGATGAACAGATCTCAGAGAGCATTCAACCCTCTAAAATTTTCACTCC